TCATCTCAATCCCTCCCTCAACATGTAACATAACATATCCATAGGTTCTGAGGATCAGGGTGTGGGAGATATTTGGAAGAGTACATTATTCTTCCTGTAAAACCCTTGTTTCCAAATTTTGAGTAATTCTTCCTAACCTCATCCTAAACATTTTTTTCTCTTGCTTTTTCCACCTGTCCTTTCATTTAGTAATGCTATACACATCTACATCATTCTTCTTTTTTAAATATATAGTTTTATTGATTTCAGAGCAGAAGCGAGGGGGAGAGAGAGATAGAAACATCAATGATGAGAGAGAATCATTGATCAGCTGCCTCCTGCACACCCCACACACTGGGGATTGAGCTCACAACCCGGGCATGTATCCAGACCAGGAATTGAACCGTGACCTCCTGGTTCATAGGTTGACCCTCAACTACTGACCACACTGGCTGGGCTACCCCATTCTTCTTAATGACTAAACAGCATTCCAATTTTAGAGTTGCCAGAATTTAATTATTTCCCTATAGATGGAAATTTAAGTTGTTACCATTACAAAATGCTGCAATGAACATTCCTATACATATATCTTTGCACAATGGTAGCTATGTTTCCAGAAGAAAAATTCTTAGAGGATAAAATTCTAAGACAAAAAGTATATCCATTTTTTAAAATTTTGACAAATAATAACAAATTGCCTTCCAAAAATGTGTGCCAATACTTTACTCTCATACCAGTAATGAGAGTGCCTGTTTATTTATCTCCAACGTCACTTATGCTCAATACTTGGTATTTCCTTTAAGTCTTTGAGCCTCTATAAGCACTTTGAGATATTCACATAGGTTTTCCTGGCATAAAATAATAATTTAATAATTGTTTGATGACTTGAAGGTTAGTACAATGCAAATCCACTTGTAGAACTCAGAAGACTTATCCTAACAATGATATAACAGTAACAGAGCTAATATATGTAAATGTGCCCTTTAATATTATGCAGTGCTATTCAGATATTACTTCCATACACAGAAATGTGTTTTCACCCTTAGTTCTCATCCCTCACTCAGGTTGGCCTTGCTACTTGCCAGTTTCACATGCTATATGCTTTGTTGCTAGGGCTCATGAAGTAACTTTCATTGGGAACCCCAGAGGCTCTAAGGACCAAAGTGTGTGACTGATGGTGCCAGTCCTTCAGGAGGAAAAGCATAAGATAATGGGCATATGTTTCCCCTGAAGACAGTAATAAAGTCCAATAGCAAAGACTCCAGAGAACGAGGATTCCCACTTTGAAGTCGGTAGTATTTTGGAGGGTCTACTGATTTTGTAATAAAGGCCTTCTCAGAGACAAAGCCCCATGGGTTCAGATGGAATGTCCTGGTGAGTACCTTACCATACAGCTGCCCAATCCACCTCCACACTGTGAAACAGCAATCACCTCTGTAATGCTAAGGATCATGACATTTGTGAGGTGCAGGCTTGAGGGAGCTAGCTTAAAGCACACTGAAGTTTGACCTAGGCTCTCAGGACTGTAATAGCTCAGGGGAGGGGTACTATTCTCTACCACTCACATTCTGTGGTCTGCTCTAAGGACTAGAAGTCAGCTTCTCAGTGAGAGTAAGGGCAGTATTGGCAAGAGGAAGTCTAAAAGAATGGGATTCAGCCTGGCTGGTGTTGTTCAGTGGTTGAGCATTGGCCCATGAACCAATAGGTCACCGGTTCCATTCCCTGTCAGGGCACATGCCTGGGTTGTGGGCTTGATCCCTGGTGAGGGGGCATGCAGGAGGCAGCCGATCAATGTTTCTCTCTCATCAGTGTTTCTATCTCTCTACCCCTTCCCTTCTTCCCTCTAAAATCAATAAAGACATATTTTTTTAATATTTTTATTGATTTCAGAGAGGAAGGGAGAGGGAGAGATAGAAACATCAATGATGAGAGAGAATCATTGATCAGCTGCCTCCTGCATGCCCCCCGCTGGAGATCGAGCCCACAACCCCAGCATGTGCCCCTGACCGGAATCCAACCTGGGACCCCCTCAGTCTGCAGGATGATGCTCTATCCACTGAGCCAATCAGCTAGGGCAAGACATATTTTAAAAAACAAACAAACAAAGAATGGGCTTAAGCACTGCCCTGATCTGATAGGTTGTTTCTGGAGGATTGTTTCTGATAGGTTGTTTCTGATAGGTTGTTTCACTCATATAAACCTGAGTGAAAATTGCTCCCTCCATTTTTATTCCCACAACCAGAGTCTGGTAAAAATGTGTTTAAGAACATACAGGAGGCAAAATCCTGAAACTAGAAAGGAAATGGGTCCCTTTACCATACTCCTCCACCCTATCTCCACTCCTGTACCAACCTACAAGTACATGTGAACGCACACTCGGTTTTTATCCCAGGCCTTTTAAGTTTTGACTCCTCTCTCTAGAGTGAATTGAGTCATGCCCCTTGATAAGGAGTGTTTGTGAGAAAGAATGTTTGATATGAATTCAGCCATAGCCCAGAAAATATTCCTGAAATCACTAACCTATTAAAATAATCTCACAAAGGACCTAGGAGGATTTAGAGGCTTGTATCATGATTAAGAGTGTAAGCTCTGGAGCCTTAGTATCTAAGATTGAATCCTGGCTCTGACACTAGCTGTGACCTTGGGCAGTTCACTTCACTGTTCTATGCCTTTGAATCTTTATCTGCAAAATGTGGGATAATATCAGTACCTATCCCATAAGGATTGAATGAAATAATTAATGTATAGCACAATGCTAGACATATAGTAAGTGCTCATTAATATTAGCTATTATTTAATTCTCCTACAGTGCCTCACAGTTCTATGCCCATAGTATTTAAAGCATTTGTGGAGCAAATAAAGTTGACAACAATTAGTATTTACCAGTGATTTTCAACCTTTTTTATCTCATGGCACATATAAACAAATTACTAAAATTCTGTGGCACAATGATCTAATAAAAAATAGGTATAATTTTGATTCATTCACAGTGTATGGCTATTGTTGTGTTGGCTGTTGTCATTCTTTTATTTGACAATCTAAGAGAAAAGAGGTCAGTGTCCCCGACTAAATAGTCAGGCATTGCATGTTTTAAAAATTATTGCGGCACGATGGTTGAAAATCTATGTTTTATATAATACTAGTACATTTCTTTACCATATTCATTTGCCCACACGTGGCCCACCAAATTTCCAATATGGGAAAAGTTGTTGTTATAAAAGCCCATTTCCTTTCCCCCAACTTCATGGTTCTACCTTCCTCTTCCAAGACCAATTTTCTGGCCCAATCTCTGCCTTCTCTCCCACTCAGTCAGACTTGCCGCTACACTAGTACCCTGCGTTGCTTTAATATTTCAGAGGTAAAAAGAGAATAGTCAATTAAAGAAGTGTTTGCAGGTGAGAGGGGGCATTTCCCCTGCCCCACCATCATATTCCACAATTCCATCTTCTGTGTATCTAGAAGACTGCTGTAGAACAGAAAGGCCACCACCTATAGGAGATACTGAAGATTCATTAACATAATGTATCACTAGAGTCTCTTCTCCTTGGGTAAAGGCAACAGGTTTTTCAGGTGAGAAGTTGCTCCACACCCTTCACCCTAAACTTTCTGCATTCCCGGGATATTAAGTCACTGAGGCTAGGGAGGATACCTTGGGAAAATATTCCTGGTTCAGTACCAAGACATGCTTTTCCACCCTGTGTATCGCCTCTCTAGCTCTAATTGGCCTGCCTAGCCCATTGTCTCTCTCTCTCTCTCTATGTTCCCACAGCACACACCCTTTAAGTAGTTGATTCATATGGTTTTATGGAGCAAATTATAGTTCCACACTGCTTCTGCTTTTAATATAGGACATATTAACCACTGGGTAGAAATTCTTGTTAGAATACCAAAAAGGCAGTATGTTCTTCTGGAGGTCTGATAGATGATTTCTTTCAAATTCACCTTAAATCACATAGTTAGAAGACAGCAGTGCAAGCTTTTTATGACCATCTAAGTTTCTTCTTCATCATGAAAGATGGACTGAGGGAGTTGGGTTGAAAAAGGAAATCTCCACTGCTCCAAAGCAAGTCACTTCAGTCCCCCCAAATTAAGTACTTTCCAATCCTTTTAGCCACCAACAGTGGTTGAAGATGTGAAAACCACACTAGATATTCCAGAAAATAGGACAATTCTGGCTAACAACTCTGCTACTTATTTAAAAGAGGGAGCTCCTGCAACATGTCCTGACTGAATAAGACAGTGATGGCGAACCTTTTGAGCTCGGCGTGTCAGCATTTTGAAAAAAACTAACTTAACTCTGGTGCCGTGTCACATATAGAAATTTTTTGATATTTGCAACCATAGTAAAACAAAGACTTATATTTTTGATATTTATTTTATATATTTAAATGCCATTTAACAAAGAAAAATCAACCAAAAAAATGAGTTCGCGTGTCACCTCTGACACGTGTGTCATAGGTTCGCCATCACTGGAATAAGAGGAAGGGAAATGGTTAAAGTTAAATTCTTAGCACAATCCCAAGAGTAAAATTGGATGGGAATGAGAAGTCTTAGGTTGGAATATTCATAGCTCCTCATAGCAATTGTGGTACTACTACATGCTACTAGTGAGTTCTCACCTTCCTGGTTTGTGAGGGGCAAGCATTAGTTAGGTAACTGCTGGGATTCTTGGTCCCAATAGGCAGTGGATATAGTAACCTCAATTCCTTCATTACCTTAGAGGCATCCAGGTGACATCCTCATCAAAATATCCAAATGATTTGAGATGTAAGCATTGAGATACACGAGAATGGGAGACTTGCATTCATCCATTAGGGGTATGGGAATGATAAACATACGCTCCAAATTAGAAAATAAAATCCCATGTCACATGATTTACTGTGATCTTATTTCCCTCCTCTGCCTTCACTCTACCTTAGGGTGTCAGCCACCATCTCAACCCCAAACAACATGAAGGTGATATCCAAGCTATTCTCTCTCCCTTAAAAAAACAAATCAACAAAATACTCAAGACAGTAGAAGACACAATGAAATCTTCATTTCTTACACACATTAGAAACCTTTTTAATTACAGTTCACCTTCTCTGAGGTTCATATCAAGTAGTAAAATGCCAGAAGCACAGAAAAGCCGGGTTGGAGGGAATCCCTGATAATGAGCTACAAAGTGAGAGATTTTACTCAACCACTCCACTGTACGTACAAGCTGCAGGCCTATGCAGGTCCCTGAGAAAAAGTCATTCTGGCATATGCCCTGAAGGAATCCTACTCTCCACTCCCTCCTCAGAGTGTGCCTACAATAGGCCGCTGAAAAGAGAGGTCCTTGATGAATGATCATTAGTAAAATCCTAATGGAAAGCTAACTCATTTCGGGGGCAACTCTTTTAATAGTAGGGTTTTTTCTTCTTAACCAGAGTTTCTCATTGGAATTAAAGACTCCAGCTACACTTACATGTTCCACATTAGTCAGAATTTTTCCTGAAGGGTAAACATAGTAAGTGGTCACATCCTCTGATCAGTCAGGATATATTCTAGTCCGATTCTGGGCTTTCAGCTTAGCCTTGGGAAAGCTCAGTAATGCACCTCAAGCAAATGAGCAGAGCTAGGTCACTGAGAGCCTAAGGTGCATGGAGGTAAGTTATCCCATAGGGAGACGAGACAGCTGACCTGAGTGGGAGGAGTGTAAATGCTATCTCGGACCCTTCTGAATATATGGTGGCTATCTTGGTGTCCAAACATAGCAGTCCATCTTAAGGAAATAAAACCTATTTGAGGGCTGCTCTTTCTTCTGAAAAGCTTACCAGAAAACTCAGGAAAACATTCTGGTGGGTATTCAGCTATGAGCCTCATCCCCTCCTTAAATTTCACAATTGTTCTTGGCCACCCCAAACCCATCCTCAAATACCCAGGAGATAGAATTAGACAACACTTTGCCTTGCTTCAGCATCAAAGGATGGCTCCAAGTTCTCAACCCTGCCCCGAGGGTGCCGGTGGCAACAGACACAGTGGAGGTAGTCCACTATGTTGTGGGTGAAGAGTGAGCGCAATGGATGCAAGTACTGAAAGAAAAGGAGCATGAAACCAATGGAAATCAGGTAAGCAATAATGAGCTGCAGGGCAATCAAGGAATGGCAGTAATTCAATAGCACTTTCACTCCAAAGAACTTAAAAACCAGGACCATGATCACATTCTCTACCAATCTCACACTATAGTGCAGGCCCATATGTCCCCAGTTCTGACCTTTTTCAACAAGGTCCCTGTCTGCCAACTTCAACTGCAACGCTGACCAGCAAGAGAAGTTGATGCCAGCATAGAGTACGGTAATGGAAATCAGCACCACAAGGGTGCCAACCTGGCTGAAATTTTTTTCAATGTTATTGGGCATCTGGGCACCACTCCTCCAGAATTTAACCCAAGGTTCAAAGAGGATAATCAGGAAGTTGAGCAATAAGAAGGGTACAGCCTTCAATTTCAAAGTGGCTGAGAAGAGCACCAAAATCAGGAGGCGGGAAGTAATTTCCAATGTCCTCCAGATGGTGATGCAGAGAACTTCTAGTGGCCCGAGGCGAATCTTGTATTCATCGTACTTGATCTGGATAGCCAACATATTGCAGAGGGTAGCCCCATAGGTGACAGATATCAGGGAAAAGACCATTAGCACAACTGTAAGGAGAAAAAACAAGAAACAAAAAATAGGCATTAAGTCAATGTTGATGAAGTTTATATTCTGACCCAGAGGTCCAGAAAGATGATAGGGAGACTTGAAGGCCCCAGTTAAGAGCAAACTCATGGATGAGCACAGCTATGTAAACAAACAGCAAACCCAGAAACAAACTGGAAAGAAATAAACTAATATATGTATTTTCATAAGGATTACATCAGTTTTTATAATATTTTTCTATGTTTCTCTATTTTCTAAATTTCCCATGATGAACATATACTGTAATATTTTGATAAACATACAAACATACACAATGAACTTTTTAAAAAGAATTGATCTCAAAACTAGCATCAAGAGGTCACTAACACAAGAGGAGCACATATAAAGATAAAGGACAGTATCTACCTGATGAAACAGGCTTCTGAGCAAACAATGAAAGAGGCAGAAAGAGCTCTTAGCTGAAAAATAATCCAGTCTTAGAAGATTCACAGAGAATGCCTTTGGTTATAGAAATTCCTTCCTTGGTGTGGTTCTGCTTCAAGGAATTAATCTTGTTTGTGAGTGCTTCAAGAATGTGTCAAAATGTATACTGGAAATTCCATGAGGGCAGAAGGGACCATGTCTATTTTATTTTCTGTTATATCCCCAGAGCCTAATATACTGCCTGGAACATAGTATGTGCTCAATAAATGTTTGTGGAATTAATGAAGAATTCTGAGTTTAGAGAGGCAGCTTAAAATACTTATGTTTAGAAGTTCTTGGTTCAGCTGTGTGGAAGCTTGTGAAAGTCACCGAGTAACTATGTACCTCAGTTCCCTCAATTCACTGAGATACTCTAGAGCAGTGGTTCTCAACCTTCCTAATGCCACGACCCTTTAATACAGTTCCTCATGTTGTGGTGACCCCCAACCATAAAATTATTTTTGTTGCTACTTGATAACTGTAATTTTGCTACTGTTATGAATCGTAATGTGAATATCTGATATGCAGGATGTATTTTCATTGTTACAAATTGAACATAATTAAACCATAGTGATTAATCACAAAAACAATATGTAATTATATATGTGTTTTCTGATGGTCTTAGGCGACCCCTGTGAAAGGGTTGTTCAACCCCAAAGGGGTCGCGACCCACAGGTTGAGAACCGCTGCTCTAGAGTTACTTGTATTAATCATTATCGATGGCAATTTGTCACCCCAATGTTTTGGTATACCTTAGAAATTGCCAAACTTCCAGGAGAGTGGTTTAAAATATAAAAACTCCATTTCCTAGCCTATAACATCCATACCACTGTATGTTAGAGTAGGGGCCTGAAGGATTAGAATACTTCCTAACCTGCTATACTAAATCTTAACTATAGATCACACCATGGCCCCTTTCTTTTATTCCTTTATAGCAAAGAATACTGATAACTAAGAAATATCTAGTGCTCACAAGGAGACTGAGAGGGCCTGAGGGGTACTTATCCAAAAACCAAAACTACTTGAGCTTTATGTTCCCATAAAAACACTGCATCCAGGGAACTAGAGCAGTGAGATAATCTGCAAGAAAAGTGACAACATCCCCATGGAAATCCAAAAGGATTTGTTTGCTACATCTTTTTCAGCTCTGAGTGTTGGAATCTCAAAGACTGGAATGAGAGACTTTCTTAAAGGCTCCATTCTTAGCTTTATTATTTTTATTTTTTCAATTTTTATTAAGATATAATTGATATATAACATTGTATTAGTTTAAGGTGTGCAACATAATTATGTGATATAGTCCTAGCTTTCTAAACTACTCTCAGTCCCATCCTGAAGACTTAATGCTCAAGAGTTGGGAACGTCAAAGTGTACATACATCTATCCAAGTGTGGTGATGCTTTCCCTTTATTAGAACTCACTTACTCAGAGTAGTGTAGTAAAAGAAGGAAAGGCTGATGCTTCCAAATAAATGTAAAAACACCTTCTATCTGCCTCCCTACAAATAGACTCATGCCGTAAGAGATCATAATACTGTGAATGAATTTGATCACCTATGCTAATCCAGATGCCTCCAAAAGAAAAGGGGATTAGAAAAGGGGTAGCAAGAAGAAGATAGGAGAAAAACTAAACCGAAAAGTTATTTATAAGATTGTATTGTCAGAAAGTTTTTGTAAAAGCTTCCTTTACATTCCTTGCATAGTAATATGTTAGAAACACAGGCTCTAAAGGCAGACATTCTGAATTCCAATCCAGTCTTTGCTACCTTTTACTTATGGAACCTTGGGAAATTTGCTTAACCTCTCAGTGCTTCTAATTCCTCATTTGTAAGATGGGGATAATAATAATAATTATCTCATAGGATTGTTGTGAATATTAAATGAAATAATTACATGTAAAGGGATTAGAGAAATGCCTGGAACATAGTAAATGCTATCTGCTAGCTACGATCATCATCATCATCATCATCATCATCATCATCATCATCCCCTATTTCCAAAAGTGTAGTGGGTGCATTTACTTTGGCACTACCAGGACACTTTGGAAATCAAGCAGTTTTAAAACTGATAGAACACGTAGAAATAGCCTTACAAAAATGTGAATGACCTATAACAAGAAAATTATTCTTGCTATAGGACCTGCATACTTATGGCATAGATTAGTGATGGCGAACCTTTTGAGCTCGGCGTGTCAGCATTTTGAAAAACTCTAACTTAACTCTGGTGCCGTGTCACATATATAAATTTTTTGATATTTGCAACCATAGTAAAACAAAGATTTATATTTTTGATATTTATTTTATATATTTAAATGCCATTTAACAAAGAAAAATCAACCAAAAAAATGAGTTCGCGTGTCATCTCTGACACACGTGTCATAGGTTCACCATCACTGGCATAGATTGTGGTGAGATTTCATGGAGGTATACTTGTCTCCAAACTTATCAAGTTGTATACATTAAATAGATAGAGGTTTTCATTTATTAGTTGTATCTCCAACAGTGATTTAAAAATACTTAATGAAATGGAGAAATATATCATCTTCTAATATGAAATTGATTGATCCTGTAAAGATATAAATTCCTTCCAAAATAGCCTAAATAATTTCATGTAATCCCAATAACAGAGTCAATAAACTTTTATTTCATTTACCATTGTTATTGTTTGCTTTGTTTTGTTATTTGGTGGGGGAGTTGACAAATTGATGGTGGAAAATCATCTATTTGGAAGATCAGGATAAATTGCTCTATCAGATATGAGTTGTGAAAGGCCTTTGTTAAAAAGTCACAATATCTAAAAGCAATAAAAAATGTAAATACATAAACATTTAACCCTTCAAAATGCCAGAAGATACAAGTATAGTGTTGATCTTAGACATGTGTTGTGCATATGTGCTACATGTTACATGTATGACACGTATAATGCACATTTAAAATATGTGTATAGCCCAGCCGGGTGTAGCTCAGCGGTTGAGCATCGACCCAGGAACCAAGAGGTCACGGGTTCGATTTCTGGTCAGGGCATATGCCCAGATTGCGGGCTCGATCCCCAGTCGGGGGCATGCAGGAGGCAGCCAATCAATGATTCTCTCTCA